GCCAATTATAACTTTCTTCCAGAAAAGTCTTAATTTGTTTTTTTATACTCATAGTAGCACTGTTCAGCCTCTCTAAATATACCTCGCGCTTCTTTGAAAGGCTGGAGTCAATGATCATCTGACAGAAATACGCATGTGCTAAATACTAATTACTGCTTAAACGTCTATTTATTTTTTTATCCGAGCAGAAGTGATGAATGACCGTCTTGCACACTCATTCTCACTGAGTGCTTCAGTTAATCTAGAAAGTCTCAGCCCTTTGTGGAGCCTGAAAAGTCGTTACATTGTTAGTGAGAGCCCGCCTCTGCTTCTTAACATGAGCCAGACTAATTCAGTCCACTTCTTCACACTCTTGTTTCTCCAATAAGCAATTTTCCTTCTACAGATTCTCCAAGTAAGTATTTGTAGTATATTTTATACGTAATCTTATCTAGGCTTCTGCTACATTCTCCCTCTTGGTTTTATTATGTCGACAAATATCATAGTGATTATATGTATATAGCTCCATTATTTATATTGATTTTAGTTAGAAATGTAGGTACACTTGGTGAGCCACATTGTATATTCCTTCATAGCCCAGTCGGTATGGCGTCAGGCTAATGTCCGGGGTTCCATTACCAGCAGGGCAAGAGCTCTTTCTCCACAGCGACCAGGCAGGGTATGGAGCCCACCCAGCCTGCTATCTAATATGTATTGGCTGCTCTTTCCCCGGCGTTGAAGCTAATCACTCACCTTATCTTAGTGTCGAGTTCAAAAATGAAGTTAAACCTCCGTTGCCCCATACCTCTTCATGGTGCGGTGTTTAATCAATTAAGCTGAGGGAAAATTTACCTTTGTTACTAACTAAACGGATATAATTTATAACGCTCATTCTACAGCCTGTTTTTCCTCTCTCTTGGTTTCATCTCTTTTTTCTTGTCAAATACCCTCCTTTTTCATGCTGCTTTCAGTTAGAAATGAGAGTATACTTGGTATGGTACTTTCAGAATTTCTTCGGTAAGCTAGCCAGAGGTTATGCAAAAGCATGCGCAAAGTGTTGCTGTGTTACCGGTTGCTACCAGGTTTATATAATATTTCAATTAAAACAAAAGAAACAAACTCCGTGGTCTTAGTCCACAAGCGAACTATATCGACCGAGCGGCCGCCGCTTGTCAGCGAAGTTAGTGCCTCCTTTAGCGGATAGAGGGTGTCGCGTGGTCAGCGCAACGAATTCCCACAGCCGTTAATTTCGGTTTTCTAGACCGATATTTCCTTGAAATAGCTCCTCAATTATGCTCACGAGGCTGAGTGGGCCCCGTTTCAGACCCACTATCTCTCAGAAAATCTGGTAGCGCCGGGAATCGAACCAGGGACCTCTGGATCTGTAGCCAGGAACTCTGACCACTAAACTAATTTCCCACAAGAATAAGTATGTTGCTCGCGAGACCACAATTCAGAATCGATAAAATAATGAAATTTAGAGTAGCGTTCTACGATCTTATAGCTGAAAGTTTTCTCGCCACGTAAGATATCTAATTCAAAACATTATCTGTGGAAGTATGGAACCTTTTACAAATCCGAACATAAGTTCTATCTTCAAGGTCTGGGAAAAGTAAGCATGAGAAAACGTGGTTCGGGAGGGTTGAATCCCTGCAACCCTCTTTGCCACGTGCCTCCTTTAATCCTCTTAATGACATGGGCTGGGTCTGCTTTTATGACTGGTGGAAATCGGAAGCCAGAAGGTCTGGGTTTACTCGCTGTTTCCACACACAAGAACCCTCGCAAAGCCGAAGCAAACTGCAAGATCGCCACACACCGCAGGGAGCTGCACCAATTGAAAGGGTGCGTTGTCTTAGAACCACAACATTCAATAGCGGAAAGCAGGATTAGTCGAGAGTTGTCGCATGGTCTATAACTTGGGGGGGGGGGAGTTGGGTGTAATACCTAAATTGTCATATTTTAAATAACAATTTCCATTTTGCCCCAGCTCCAGAAACATTTTGCAACACTGGTCTCGATACAGCGTGTAATGCAATATGTGCGGCAAAAAATCATCACCAAAATAATCATCATAATCGTCATCGTTTTTAGTTAATTATTCTTCTTCTTATCCTGAAATGATCGACCCTTTTTTGGGCCCCAAAATTAAAATAGCATCAGATGGAATGGGAGAAACCGGTCTAGAAAACCGAAATTAACGGCCGTGGGGATCCATTGCGCTGACCACGTGACAACCTCTGTCCGCAAAATTTGACACGAACTTCGCCGACAAGCGGCGTTCGCTCGGTCGGTATAGTTCGTTTGCAGACTACAGGCCACGGAGTTTCTTTTTTGGAATGAGAGAATAGGATATACATAAGGATTTGGAAGGAGAGAGTCGTTGGTCTGTTTAAAGCTACGTTCGCGATCTTTGCCTGGAGAGAGTGATGAAGGGTTACTGAGGGTGTAATTATTTACCGTTACGCTATTCTCCTCGATCATCGCCCTTTCTTTTTGTCTAGCAAATGTGAGAGCATCTGTGGATCTATGCAACCACTTCCCCTTAAGCCTTCATGTCGTAGTCCTTAATTAGTTAAACACAGGGGACAAATTTACCTTGTACCTAAATGTGAGAGCATCAACTTCTCACAACCCTATGGCCCTCCATCGTCTGTTACAGGGATACCTGATTAAGCAATCAGCCTTTTTGATCTATATCAATATTTTTAAGATTACATTTTAAATATATTAAATGTAGGTAAAAAGGTAAAGCTATCCCTGTAACAGGCCGAGGAGGCCCATTAGGTTATGAGACGTCGAGGCTCCCACATCTTCTAGACAGTCGATTCACAGATGGCGCTAAGGTTGTCAGCCTTACGCGCCGGACGCCCTTTACCACCCAAGAAGATATCTGTTAGAGGCTGAGTCGATCCCAGGGCCAAAATGCGGCTGGAAGGATTAGGTCGATTGAAAAAAAATTAAATGTATGTAATTTTGGTAAAATTTTGAAGTGGCGTATATTAAATTTTGTTGTAGGTAACTATGTGGGCCCATGTTCTAGAAATTTTCTCTTTCTCATAACCCTAAGGCCGTTCTGAAACCACTAGCTCTAGCTTCCCCTAAATGGTGGATGGGAAAAGTCATTAGATAAATTTTAATTGTCAGAATATACTCAATAAAAGCCCACTACTAACAGAAACCTAGTTCCTCTGAGCTTTAAAATTCTGGGTATCTCCCCCCCCCCCACTCTCTCTCTCTAGGGGTTATAAATATAAAGAAAAGTTTGTCCGGAAGCCTGGAGATGGCAGGCCCATCACCATGCTGCCCGGCTGTCCACTAGCACTAGGGACGCTAGGGACATTCGTACAGATGTGACGTTTCAACGATTTATTGATTGATGGCTTTAACGTCAGCTCCTCTGCACTGGTTATTAAATTAACGTAATGTGAATTTCAGCAGTTTCATTTCCATGAAATGGGACTAATAATTATATCAGCGTCACCCGGCTCCTCTAGAATTATACAGTGGCAATTCATGTGTGTTTTAAATTAGCTTCGTCCTTATTCTAACATTTAGTACTGAACAATGTACTCCAGAAGAAAATCACATTCATGAAAACAAGACAAAGAAATTCTTTGGGACTGAGTTAAAATCAAATATTTTTTTCTTTTAATTTAGTTTCTCATTGCCTTAGGAGTTTAAAGCGTAATTAATACACGGATATGCGTGTATTATTAATTTGAGTTTAGTGTATGCCATAATAACGGATCACAGTGGCCGCGCGGTCTTCGCGAATTCGAATCCCACTCAAGATATTGATGTCTGTTTGTGCTTATTCTATGTTTGTGTTGTCCTGTGTAGGTCGCGGCCTTGCGACGGGCTGGTCCCCTGTCGTAAGAGTCCTACAGACTGTGTAAGATTAAGAAACTGAAGTGATACCAAGCGTGTTACAGATGCCTTATGCTCCAAGTGGGAGCAACAGGAGTGAAGATATATAGAAAATATAGATATTATGCCATAGTAAAGAACTATGAAGCAAAATTTTCGAATTTTACCAAATTTGCTTTACTGTTTAATATTTAGTATATATATTTGTATATATATATATATTGTATATATAAAGAAGTTCACTTATGACCATGAGTATAGACAGCTTTGTTATGGGTCAGTATGGCTAAGAAAAGGAACTGCTCGAAAATCTTTAGTGGCAAACCCCCATATCGATTTAAAAAAAACAGATGCCCAGCTGCTAACGTGCAGGCACTAGGCCAAGGAAAGAAACGGACAAACAAGATTTCCACACAGGGCGTTATTTTTTGTTTTATAAACAAAGCCTAATAATGTCTTCTATTTTCTTTCGTATTTTCTAAATTCTTCAGTTCATTTTTTCTAATTAATTTATCCTTGTTTCCTAGAGGGATGAAAATTGTTTATAATATTAGTAAATAGCGGGCCCCAATTTGCTATCATTAGGTAAAACAGGGCAGGTTGTCAATGAACCAGAATGTTCTTTGCACCTGGTCTCTAAAGGCACTTCACAGCTACAGGATTGCCGTTTAGATTAGCCAGCATCAACATGAAACATGAAATCAACAGTGAAATATGTAACCAAAATTCTGAAGATCTCTGTCTTCTGGCATTTATCTTCGTGTGTTTCGTAGTAGTTGAACAAATGTTTCGGAGATAAGTGTCGCCCCCATCTTCAAGGTTGAATAGTAAGCCAATCAAAAAGCCGTATGTAGCAAGCTTCTGTTTGCTGCCTGCTTCACGATGGTTTCTTGCTCGAATTTCTGCTTTATTTATCATTTAAGGTTATCTGCGAGTAAGATTCCATTTGAACAACTGGTATCGTAAATATGGACAAGAAGTAATTTACTTGAAAAGGAATAGAATTGCTCAGTAAAAATCTACTTCATGTTCACAATATGTGGCCTTAGAAAGTGCCGTTTTCATGGCCACCTTTCTTTTTGGTCTGAGCGGGGCTCCACTGCCTGTCCCTTCCTTGTAACCTGAGTTTGTAAATAACGCAATCGATTTTTCAGGTTACATATTTCAACACTGAAGATGGAGGCAGCATATTACTCCGGAACGTCGGTATCTTCTTACAAGACTATACGAAGTCAGAACGCAGAAGACCATAATATGAAAAATTGCCGCAGCGGAAACCTCAAAATATGTGACATGAGAAACAACCAATCAAACAAACTTGTGTCTTATGAGGTATGTTAGTATTGTCACTTGTAGTAGTGACTGCATACTGTATGCTATATTGACTGAACGAGTGTTATGGTCGAATTCATATGAACGTTACTTTGTATTCTGGAAGTTCCGGACTGAAATCTCATCTGTACACCCACTTCCTGGCCAAGATTTTTCACAGTTTTCTCAGAAAATCCAGATAAATGCCAGGTTATTTCATCAACTTAGCCCACGCTTTTTCTAGTTCAGTATTCACTGAATCACTCTACATTTCAACTTACAGTAACCTGAGATACTGAGTTTTTCCACGTTAAGATGTAGTTAAGTGGAATATAAATTGGTAATTATAATGCCGGATGGAGGCCGAGCCGCCGTTTGAATCCCAGAAAATGATTTTTTCTCCTGAAAGTCTTCTCCATAACGCCTTTTGGAACAAGAAAGTTTTTGCTTCATTTTGTATTCTGGCGGAATTGTATTACATCCTTACTGTACTGAAAATCGGCGCCTCCTTCGAGAGTGTTAGTCCACTTTTGCTGACGTCATATAGGAATTCTAAGAATGGGCAAGATCGCCTAGCTGTGGTGTGAGGTTAGATAATTCACTTGTCCAGCCACAGCGAAGTTTTCAGCGCTGAAGTAGCCCGGAAACTTGATGACAGTATGGTGACCGTGCTCGGAGCAGGGGACAAGTATGCAACACAGCCATTTATATAAAATAGTTCTGAGACGGAAATGGAGTCCAGTCGAAACATAGTTCTGCCAGTTGGAGGCGTGTTACATCGCCTGAGGAGGGGATATTATTAGAGATGAATTACATTATTGCCGCATCTTAGAAAAGAGGTGTCTTATTTTCGAATTCTTAAGAATAAATTTGAATAAAAAATCACTAGAAGTTCTAGTTGCTAATTCTAATGACATTTATAAAAAATATCTAGAATTACGTTTAAGGTATTAAATTTTGTGTCTATTACTTTTCAGTAGTATAGTTTTTACTGCCGGTCACGGTAGCCGGGCAGTATAAGGCCTTTACTGTCTTCGCTAGCTCGGAAGCCGGGATCGTGGTTTCGAATCCACTCAGTGTATGGATGTTGTGTGTGTGTGTATGCGATTATTCTATGTTTGTGTTGTCCTGTGTTTAGCTAGAGGCCTTGTGACGCGCTGATCACCCGTCCAAGGAGTCCTACCCTCTGTAAAATGATCATGAAACTGAAAAATCAGCCTTGTGCTCCAAAGTGCAAGCAAGAGGAGATAAAAGAAGAATTTTTGCTTTTTCTTTTTTGCCTACAACCGCCAAAATTAAATGATATCCAATTTTGTCGAAACACATTTTTTCCCTGATTTTATATTTGGACTTATAGAATAGTCCGCAAAAAATTGAGTGGATTCTGTTGTATAATTACTCTGATTATAACCTCGGCCAGGAGACAGGCTAACGTGACCGAGGCTCATCTTGGGTTTCCGCCAGTCCATCCAGATAAATGCCGAAATAAATTAGGCATACGAACGCTTCCTTCAACAGCTTCTTCAATTAATTATTCGCTAATGATCCTAAGATTCGAAGTCAGTCTGAGCCATGGAAATGTCATTAATGAACCAAGAAGAGATCAAAATAAATTCTTAGGCTATTTAATGACACTGTTTCAATTTGAATTGTTTATAACATTGAATAGAATAGGATCATGATCATGATCATGAATGGTGAGCAAGTAACGGTTTTGGAAGATCTGGTCGTAGCTTACTTGGAGTAGGACTGCTATTCCTGCTTTCTGCTGGAGAGAGAGAGAGAGCAGAAACCATGGAAACCTGTGTCAGAATTAGCACAGATTCGAAATACATACCTCCCGAGTGCAAACCTGGAGTGTTACGGCTACATGACCATGCTTGATATCACAGATAGATGAAAAACCTCCGTGGTTTTTAGTCCACAAGCGAACTATACATTGGTAATCAGTCAGCGAAATTATTTAACAGCAATTAATCCTCTTACCCGAGATAATCTTTTCCATTTATATAGTTCGGCATTCCATGAAACTGTGGTGGGCAGGGACAAAGCAGAATAATCGAAATTCCGAAGTAACTACAATTTTTCAAGTCGTTTGTGATTCCTACATCTCAGGCTTGGGAGCCGGGATAGCGCAATCAGTATAAGGACTGACTAAGGGCTGGATGACCGAGGGGTCGGGGTTGGAGTCCAGGCAGGGTAGAGAATTTTCTCTTCTCCATATCGTCCAGTCCGGCTCTGGGGCCCACAGACTGTTTGCACCTGCTCACGCCGGTTCGCTCGCGGATTTCATCTTTTTCTTCCTTCTATCGTGAAGATGGAGGCGATATGTTCCTCCGAAATGTCGGTTAACACAATATCTACACGGCACCACATCCCAGAAGACTGCTTTCTTCACAATAATAAAACTTCAGTTTCCATTCAATTCTGGGAATTTTCTGAGTAGCTGAGCGACTATTAGCTTCTCAAGCACACTCAGTATGTATGTAGTTAATATATAAACATGTATGAAAAAGAGTTTCTGTTAGGTATATCCAGCCGTAATTATTTGACAGGCGCAAGGCATGACTGAACAAGCCTCCAGAAATGGAGGACTGCAGATATGTTAAGATGCACTTGCGGATAATATGCAGGAGATGGTAGTACACATCTGTATTTTAGGACGCAGGGCTAACAGGGCCACTAACAGGCTCATGATCACGTCCAGATAACACGCTTGGTATCAGCAATGTACCTTCGGGTCCTATTACCATCGAGTTAGTCACGGGTGGAATGAAACCTGTAACATGTGACGGGTGCCAGGTGAATATTGACACCTGGCACACCTTGGAGGGAGGAACATTACGTATTCCGGAAGCGGAATAGCTGGTATATTTAGACTATGATCCTGTAGAACTGTCAATAATCTGTATCAGGTATCCTTCATCTGAGCAGAGCATTTACCCCTCAGCTCATTTTGAAATTCGCTCGAGTTTCCTACAGAAGATCCCTTTCAAATGTTAATTAGCTGCGATACTTCCCTCCTCTCGCTTGCTTCACCCTTCATCCCCCATGTCCTACCGCTGATTTATAACGTCAGCATAATGAAAGCAAGGAAACGTGCCAAGTTCACACCCGCGTGACTCCGGCACTTTCCGGCGGTCTCTTGCCTCACCGTTAGAACAGGATCTCTACGCTAGTGCTGCACGCTGCAAGCCTATGTAGCCTCTCTCGCATATTTCTAAATGCATCCCCTGCTATTTCGCACATATTAGCGGCGTATATTTCAATATACCGAATATATGAAATTATTTTTTGAAATCCTGCGCATATCATAATGCGCAGGACAGTATCATAAATTATTATTCTTTTTAGCTGAAATATTCGTCATGCTGCAAAACGTGTAAAATAATCTTGTGTATTTTGTTAAGACCTGTACTTTAAGTTAAAGTTGTCTACAGCACCTGCTCAAACTGGTTCATCGCTCGCTGATTTCTTATACCCTGAAAATGGAAGCAGTTCGATCCTCCGAAACGTCAGTTAACAAAATATCTATACCGCGCCATATCCCAGAAGACGACATTCTTCATAATCACCGCCGTGTAAAACTCAGATCTTACAGCATAATCTAGTCCATATCCTCACATATTTTATTCTAAAATAACCACTTAATTTATTTTCCGTATGGGAAATGTTGTGACACATGCTAATGCGACCGTTGGTGTCAAATCGAGGTTAATCTTCGGTACTTAGAACTTCTAGACGCTCTGATGTGAATGCAGATTTTGTCGCCAAGTAACAGCAGCTCGTGTCTAATCGCAATGCCTGCTGGGTAATGACTAGGAGACTGTATATTAAAGTTTCGCCCCTCTGTGCGTGTTTCATTATAAACCACCCCCACCTACCCTTTCTAGCAATGCCAAATTTGAGACAAAGAGTTATTATAAATCGGCTAATGACAGAAGAGGGCGGATGTTGGTGGTTTCAAGGCATTAGTATGTCCTACATCCGTGTGTGTTCTCAGCTCGCCGCAAAGTAATCCCAGCTCTTTGAATATCAGAGTAACATTCATTTTCTATTAAACCCGGTCTGTTGCAAACCAAATTGCTTTCTTTGGCATTTCTGAAGACAGAAATGTTTTTACCAGTGTGGAGACAAATTAAATTTGCGGTTTAATGGTGTGAAAAGAAGCTGTAGGAATTTTCCCCTTCTTTCATTCGTTCATTTTTTGTTTCTTTCTTTGCTCCCGATAATGGTTCTCCTCCTCGTTCAGCATAAACAAATCTTTGAATGCTTCTGTATAATATTTCATGTTTTGGCAATTAGACTAAGGATGGAGCTGCTACTTTTAGCTGGATGGATTTACCAAATTTTGGCGCGCTACTCTAGTTGCAGGTAAAATGTCAACACACATTTCCCCGCAGATATATTGGTAACCTTGGAAGAGTTCTTAAGTTTCATCGAGAATTTTAAAATTTTCATATAAATTTCTTATTTTTTTTTTCTTTCCGGAGGAACGCAAAGCAGGTGGTGACGTATGCTCTGTGAACTCTATCACTTTTTGGAATGATGATGACTTAGAAAACAATTTCTTTATTAAAGTCCGTCACAACACTACAATATAAAGTTCAAGGCTAAAATTAGCTTCGCTTGTTGTGTTGTGACTGACTTTAATAAAGAAATTGTATATAATAACACAACAGGATGCAAGAAATAAAACAAAAGACTTAAAATGTTCAAGCTGTTTTCAGATGCAACATTGATTAAACAGGATGTACTTAACGAAAGCGACGTATTATGAGAAAATGTTTTAGTATTATTTAGGTATATTATGTGAGAATACTGAGTAAAATCTCTGTTTTGGAATGTGTCCTGAGGTGAAAACACAAGGCGTAATGCTGTTCGTATTCTAAATATATATAATTCGCATATTTCTTCGGTAGGTTTATCTGTCCGGCAACCAATTGTAAGCATATTCTACCTGTAGATCACCCATAAAATATTGGTGCTCCCTGATATAATGACAAGAAGAACAAAATATG